TCTGTGCGACCGGACTAAATCCAGCATGTCAGAACCAGGCCCATGGAACACAGAAACAAAAAAGCCCTTCGATGACCCTAAAATACCTTTCAATAATTACCTCTCACACCCCAGATGTGAGAGGTAATTAGTTAATTTAATTAATGAGGTAATTAATTAAATCTGTCTATGTACATGAAAGGTTAAGGTCATGACCTAGGGCAGTGGTTCTCAAAGTGACACAGAAAGCTGATTTTGCCCTGAGGAGACACTTGGGGATATCTGGAGGCGTTTTTGATTGTCACACTTCGGGGGTAACTGTGGCCTCTCTAAGGGTAGAGTCTAGGCATGTTAATGACTTCCTATAACACAAAGGAAGGCCCCACAACGGAAGATTCTAGTGCTGAGGTTGAAAAGTGATGCTCCAGGCATCTAGAAAAGTGAGGCATCTAGGCACAGGCACAACCACTCAAGCCCAGGGTTAGCACAGACCTCAGTCACCAGGTGGGGTCTGACACTCCCCTCAGAAGACGAAACCGAGGGTTCACAGACACAAAAACACGGGGTTGGTCAGAGGCAGAAGCTGAAATGGCCACTGGGCCTCACCTCCCAGCCCGCCTTCTCTCCCACACTGCTTGCCTGTGGTAATGCGAGTACGTGGGAGGACAAGGAGAAGCGGAAACATGGAGAGGCGACTGTCACGGACACAAGAGTCTCTGCTATCAAGCCTCAGGTGCTCTTATGTCCGTGACATGGGTGCGTTTACTGTCTGTAAATTTTAATTTTTTCTAAGTTTTTCTTTCAATTCCAGGTAGTTACATAGTATAATATTAGTTTCTGGGGTACAGTATAGTGATTGAACACTTCCGTACATCACCCAGTGCTCATCAGGACAGGTGGCCCCCGACTCCCCATCCCCTACTTCCCCCAGCCCCCGCCCACCTCCCCTCCGGTGACCACCAGTTTGTTCTCTAGAGTGAAGAGTCTCTTTCTTGGTTTCTCTCTCTCTTTTCCCCCTCTGCTCATTTGTTTCTTCAATTCCACATGTGAGTGAGATCATAGGGTATTTGTCTTTCTCTGACTTACTTCACGTAGCAGGATACTCTCTAGCTCCAACCATCTTATTGCAAATGGCAAGATTTTATTCTTTTTTTATGGCTGATTAACTGTGAATATAAACTACCTATTCTTTCTTCATTCATCAGTCGATGGACACTTCATCTGTCTCCATAATTTACCTATTGTAGATAATGCTGCTACCAATACAGGTGTGCACATATCTTTTAAAATTAGTGATCTCCTGTCTTTTGGGTAAATACCTAGAAGTACAGTTGCCAGATGGCAGAATAGTTCTACTTTTAACTTTTGGAGGTATGTCCATACTGTTTTCCAGAGTGGCTGCCCCAGTTTACATTCCCACCAGCAGTGGAAGAAGGTTCCTTGCTCTCCACACCCTTGCCAGCACCTGTTGTTTCTTGCATTGCTGATTCTAGCCATTCTAACAGGTGTGGGGTGGGATCTCATTGTGGGTTTGATCTGCATTTCTCTGACGATGAGTGCGACTGAGCATCTTTTCACGTGTCTACAGGTCATTCTTCTGATGTCTTCTGTCCATTTGCAACTGGATTATTTGTGTTTTGGACATTGAGTTATATCTGTTCTTTATATATGTTAGATACTAACCCTTGGTCAGATATGTTATTTGCAAATATCTTCTCCCATTCTGTTATCTGCAAATATCTTTTAGTTTTGTTGGTTGTTTCCTTTGCTGTGTGGAAGCTTTTTAATTTGATGAAGTCCCAACAGTTTACTTTTGCTTTTGTTTTTGGTTTACTTTGCTTTTGTTTTTAAATACATAGAAACATATCTAAAAAGAAGTTGCTTTGGCCAATGTCGAAGAGGTTACTGCCTGTGTTCTCCTCTAGGATTTTGATGATTTCAAGTCTCACATTTAGGTCTTTTCCGTTCTTAAATCATTTTTTTTAAAGATTTTATTCATTTATCAGACAGAGATCACAAGTAGGCAGAGAGGCAGGCAGAGAGGGGGCAGGGGAAGCAGGCTCCCCGCCAAGCAGAGAGCCCAACACGGGGCTCGATCCCAGGACTCTGAGATCATGAACTGAGCCGAAGGCAGAGGCTTTAACCCCCTGAGCCACCCAGGTGCCCCCAGTTCTTAAATCATTTTTGTGTGTGGTATGAGGAAATGGTCCAGTTTCATTCTTTTGCATGTTGCTGTCCAGTTTTCCCAACACCATTTGCTGACGAGATGGGTTTTTTTTTTTTCCAAGTGGACATTCTTTCCTACTCTGTCGAAGATTAACTGACCATACAGTTGTGCGTCCATTTCTGGGTTTTCTATTCTGTCCTATTGAGCTATATGTCTATTCTGTGCCAATACCATGCTGGGTTTTTTTTTTTTTAATACCATACTGTTTTGATGACTACAGCTTTGAAATAATTTGAAGTCAGAATTGTGATGCCTCCAGCTTTGTTTTTTTTCCCCAAGGTTGCTTCGGCTGCTTGGGGTCTTCTGTGGTTCCACACAAACGTCAGGATTGTTTGTTCAAGCTCTGTGAAAAATGCTGTGACACTCTATACAGAAAACCTGAAAGACTCCACCAAAAATCTGCTAGAACTGATAAACAAATTTAGCCAAGTCTCAGAATACAAAATCAAGGCACAGAAATCTATTGCATTTCTATACATCAATAATGAAGCAGCAGAAAGAGAAATTAAGAAAACAAGCCCATTTACAACTGTACCAAAAACAGTAAGACACCTAGGAATAGGGTCACCTGGGTGGCTCAGATCATTAAGTGCATCTGCCTTTGGCTCAGGTCATGATCTCCAGATCCTGGGACAGAGTCCTGAGTCAGGTTCCCAGCTCAGCAGGAAGTCTGCTTCTCTCTCTCCCTCTGCCTCTCCCCCTGCTTGTGCTTGCTCTCTCTCTCTCCCAAATGAATACATAAAATCTTAAAAAAAAAAAAAAAAAAAAAGACACCTAGGAATACACTGAACCAAAGAGGTGAAAGACCTGTATTCTGAAAATCATGAAACACTGATGAAAGAAATTAAAGACGACACGAAGAAATAGAAAGGCATCCCGTGTGCATGGATTGGAAGAACAAATATTGTTAATATGTCTATACTACCCAAAGCAATCTACACACTTAAGGCAATCCGTATCAAAATACCAAGCACAGGGGCGCCTGGGTGGCTCAGGGGGTTAAAGCCTCTGCCTTCGGCTCAGGTCATGATCCCAGGGTCCTGGGATCGAGCCCCGCATCGGGCTCTCTGCTCGGCGGGGAGCCTGCTTCCTCCTCTCTCTCTCCCTGCCTCTCTGCCTACTTGTGATCTCCGTCTGTCAAATAAATAAATAAAATCTTAAAAAAAAAAATAACAAGCACATGTAGATGTTTTTGAAGACCCCTTGTTTTAGAAAGCAGAGGATCTATGTGACAGCTGAGCCAAGGCTACTGCACTGCCTGCTCCCCAGAGGACAGTGTTGGTATGAGAGATGCATAAGCCCCCACGGTCTCTGTGAAGCAGGACTCTAATGAAGTCATCTTCCAGTGAAATTCACAACATAGAAGTGGGTACTCCCAACTCTTTGTGAGTTCCCCTGTGAGCCCCTCCGAGTCCAAATAAACAAGGTCAAACTGAGTTCGTATGTTGGGCAACAAGGCTGCTTCACCTGCTGGCCAGCCACCTCAGCCCCACACACCAGCCAGCAATTCCAGCAGCTCGGACTCACAACTTAGCAGAATGACAAATTACATTCATCACAGGGCTTTGGGGTCCCAGCAAACAGCAGAGAATCCAATCGCCAAGTCTGCCTTCTGTTTAAAAAAAGACCTCAAAACAGGGCGCCTGGGTGGCTCCGTTGGTTAAGCAGCTGCTTTCAGCTCAGGTCATGATCCCAGGGTTCTGGGCTTGACTCCCACATTGGACTCCCCCTGCTCTGCGGGGAGCCTGCTTCTCCTTCTCCCTCTGCCTGCCACTCCCCCTGATTGTGCACTCGTTCTCTCTCTCTCTCTCTGTCAAATAAATAAATAAACTATTTTTTTTTTAAAAATACCTTAAAGCAATTTAAAAAGTGGAGCAACGCAAGCTCCCTCCTTCTGAAGGTGCCATGAGAGCCTGGAAAAGGGCTGGGCTGAATCAGGACTGGCCCAGACACCGTTGGAGTCTCTATATCCACCTCAAAGCCGTGTTATCAATTTTTTTTACATCACCAATTTTTAAGGGATTATGAAGAAAATGTCTACACAGGATCTATCTCATTCGGATTTCAGGAGATGAGGGATAATGCCATGAGGAAAAATAAGATTTCGTCTCTCTTTCATTGCAGAGAATTGCCCTAAGAGCAGCATAGGCTGGGGCAGAGAGGAAAGAGCGACAGAACAGAGTGAAAATACCGAGAGTAAATCTGACAGTCGCAGCAACAGATCCGTTTCACTGAGTTCAGAACAGTGATACTCACTACTACCTATCACTTCCCGCTATACTGAGGCAGTGTTTATTAATTATCTAGTCATCCGGCTTTATCACCTACAGCAGGTTTGCCACAGAACTCTACCTTACAGTAACTATACTCGTTGGGAGACTATTGGGGTTTTCGGAACCTTTAATTACTGGACCAAAACAACAGCAAGAGCTCGCTTATGCTTAAGGCTTCTACTTTAACCAGATGTTAATAAAGTGATTCCAAATAACAAGCAGCTAAGGTACGGTTTTGTTTTGACTCCTTTCCAGGCACAGAACTGAAGAGAACACGCCGGCCCGTCCTGTGCTTCCCAGGTCAGTCTTCTTCCTGACCGCAGGGCATCCCGTCACCTGGGCGGTGCCCCACAACACACACACTGCGTGGCGACCCCAGACCCACCTGACCGGGTTCTGCGGGGTCAGGACCTCAGGACACTGAAATGTTCCTGGGACACGTTCCTGCCCACACAGCCGGGCCGTATTCGCCACCCCAGACACACGGCTAGCGGTCCCCGTGTCTCAGAAGGACGACTTACTTGTCACGACCCCAGCCAGAGCACACACAAACTGATTCTCAGCAGAGTCCGGCTCCTTGACATCCCCATCCAGAGACTTCACGAAACTCTCCATGGTCTGAGCAGTGATGCTGAAAAACTTGAGCGTTTTTTCCTGAAAGTGTGGAAAGGAAAGGGTCACACCCCTGCGCAAATACTGGTGCAAAACACAAGGGCACAACAGGAAGCCTCCGTGTGAAGGACAGAAGCAGTTCTTAAAAGTCCACTCCCTCGTTACAAGCTCCCATATGGAAAAGAGCTAAAATGAGGAAGTTTGGAATCCGTAGAAAAATAGCGCTGCAGACGGAAAGAGCAAAATGAAATACGCGGGAGGGAACGGAGCAAACTTGCGCAGCGGTGGAAGTACCAGGGTGGGTTCACCCCGAGTCCACTAGGAATATGTGAGAAAAATACGTTCTTTGTTGGGTCCAGGCAGGAAACCACAGGTTTCAGCCACCGGAGAAGAGCTTTTCAAACAGAATGTTAAGAGAAGCGCCAGCAGGTCGGGAGACGGCGCGGTGAGCAGGTGGGCGGGCACCTCGCACCTCTGTTACTCAGCGCAGGTCCCCCCCAGCACCCCGAGCCGCTGAAGGGCCTCCCGGGGGCGCTGGGGTTCAGGGAGACCTTCAAGGCCGACGCACCCACCAACCACACAAGGCAGTTCCACGGGCTGCTACAGTGCAGTGAGACCGGGTTGTGGGGACGGCACAGGTCTGGAAATAGGTAAAGCTGGCGCCCTGCACACTCCCAGCAGGCCGGGTTTTATGGCAGCTGAGCCAGTAAAGCTCCACAGATATTAAGATACGATTCGTCTGCGCCTAAAGTCTCGCGTAACTCGTTTCTCCTCCTCGAGGCCTCCGTCAAACCTTCCTGCACCTGTTCCCTGTGCACAACCTCACTGTCCGCCTAGAGCACAGCCGCAGGCGGCGGCCCTGCCTTCCCTGCCTGCGCCACGGGGCCAGCGTTCCAGTAAGTCTTCCCGCCTCGCTCCCACGCCTGCCCGGTCCTATCTACCTCACTCGAGGTCCGCACCATCTTCCCGAAGTCTCTCGCCCCGTCACTCTCTTACTCAAGACCCTCGGGGGTCCAGTTGTGCCACCTACTGGGTAAATTCAGCAACCTGGCACCTGAGGCCTTCCCAAAATCACATGCCGTCCTCGTTTTGTGACGTTACCGCCCCCGACCCTACCGTGCTAACCCCCCCCCACCCCGCTCTGGGTCCAGTGACCCAGGCACCGTCCGGAAATCTAACTTCAGGCTGCTCCGCCTGTGCCTCTGATGATGCCGCTCCCCTCCCCTCCCCGTGTCTGCCCTTGACCCCGATTCCAGCTCGTCAAAGCCCATGTCAGATCTCTCTTCCTCAGGGAAGCTTCTTGAGAGAGAGAGAGAGTGCTATTAACATGCGTATGTTACGTAACATGGAACCGCCAACAAATCAAATACCGCGTTACCAGGAAGTGACCTGCGTTATCGGGCGGACACGACAACCTCTGTGAGCCCGGGAAAGGGTACGCAGAAGTCAAGGAACGATCCTGAAGTGCCACGGTCTGGGGAGGAGGGGCTTACGTCGCTCAGCTTACACGGCCCGAGCCCCAGCTCTCACGGGCCCCGGCACACCGCAGCGCCAACGCTACCGGACGGACGACCGGAAGACACGGACGTCGTCTGCGGGCGCCTTAGTAGGACACACAGCGCCCTCTGGGGTCCCTCAACGCTGACGGGCGATATGCAGGGAGTGCAGGGGCACGCTTACTCCTCCCAGAATGGCCTTGACCACGTCCTCGCTGCCGGAGACGCCCCACAGCAGGGTGCAGGCCGCAGCCCCCATGTCCGTGCAGTACTCTGCCTGCTGCAGGAGCTGCTGCCTCGCTTCGTTCAGCTGCTGTCGAAGAGCGAGTTTCTCCTAAAATCAGAACAGAATAAGATCCGCCAAACGAACAGCATTCAACCTTCAAATACCTCTACCGCGTTTCTCAAACTTTTTTTTAAAAAATGCATGCAGGGGCGCCTGGGTGGCTCAGTGGGTTGGGCCTCTGCCTTCGGCTCAGGTCATGGTCTCAGAGTCCTGGGATCGAGCCCCGCATCCGGCTCTCTGCTCCGCGGGGAGCCTGCTAACCCCCTCTGCCTGCCTCTCTGCCTACTTGTGATCTCTCTCTCTCTCTCTGTGTCAAATAAATAAATAATCTTTAAAAAATTAAAATTAAAAAATTAAAAATGCATGCAGAATTACAGAAAACAGCTGGCAAATGAAAACTAATCCTTAGACAGTCACCATCCATATTTTTCAAAAGTTCGGAGGAAAAATAACACTCTTAAAAAAAGAATGTACTGCTGCATTAGAGCTTGGAAGTTTCACCAAAGACTTGAGCCCAGCTTCAACTAAGACAAAACGTGAGGCACCAAGAGTCGACGCCAATGCGGGCACCTGAACCAAGTAACGACTGAATGCGGCAATCCACAGAGCACCGTTTCTAGCAGAAGGGCCTGCCCCCTCCAGACGGCTCACTCGAGTGGAAAGACAGCAGATGACACAGCTAAGCCCGGCTAGGACATTTGGGGCAGAGACAGGGAGAAGTGGGAAGGAGGGCCGCCCAGGCATGCTGGTGCCAGTGTGACGGGAACATGAAGGCCAGCTGGCAAACCTCAGCCAGGGCTGCTAACAGTGAACCGTCCTCCTGATGTGCCCTTAGACCTTACAAACACTCCTAGACTCGTTCCAACACTTCTGGGCTCGTATGGGGCTTCCTGGCCTCCCCAGCCTCCACCACTGGTTGCACTGTTGCTGTTACCTGAAGTTCCCTCAAAAGGCGAGAGTGTTCCCTTAAACTCAAGAAATATAGAAACTGGTGGCTCGGTCTGTTGAGCATCCAACTCTTGATTTCAGCTCAGGTTCCGCTCTCAGAGTGGTGGGATCCAGCCCCATGTCAGGCTCCACGGTCTGCTTCCCTCTCCCTCTGCCCCTCCTCCCATTTGCATGCACACATGCTCTCTCTCAAATAAATCTTTTTTTTAAAGTTGGGAAGTACCCACTTAAGTATTTTAGATGTTTTAGGTTTTTCTTTTAGAGAGATGAGTGCAGGTCAGTTAGCAGGGAAGAAAAGGAAGCAATGGGCCACAAATCAAACTCTGTTGCCTTCACAGCTGGACTGAGGGAGGTCCATTCACATCTCCCTGGGGAAGAGGTATTTGGTATGCAGAGGACCATACACATTCAGACCTATATTCACACTCATTGTAGTAGAAAAGATGGTCACTGAACCAACGAAACACGCTAATACTGCCTTAGGTGATTACAAACTCTGGTTTCATCCTAATAACTAGTCTGGATTCCTAGATGTGTTCCTCAGGGGTCTGTAGCTGAACCCACAGAAGTCAGGGGGACATGTGCAAACCTACATAAGCACTCCCTTTCCGAAATCTAGCTTTTCTCATAGTTGAAGCAGTCCGTATTCCAATTAGTCTGGTTATGATGCCCTTTGACAAGATCACACAGTAACTGCTGAGAATGACCAGACAGGATGGTCTGCACCACAGTCACATGTGGTGGTTACAGGCACATATGCCCTGGCACAGGGCTGCACATTTAGTACAAGAATATCAAGAAGAACTCAACAAGAGTAATTCCATTCACAATAACATCAAAAAGAAGAAAAAGGAATAAACTTAAGAAAAGCAGTTTAAGTCCTGTATATTAAAAACTACAAAGCATCACCAAGAAAAAGTACAGAAGATCAATCAATGGAAAGACATACCATGTTCATGGACTGGAAGACTAATATTGGTAAGACGATAATCTCCCCAAACTGACCTACAGATTCAATGTCTATCAAATCCCTGCCACAATTTCAGCAGGCTTCTTTGTTCAAAGAGATTATCTATTCTAAAATGCATATGGAAATGCAAAAAAAAAAAAGCTTGAAAAAGAAAAACAATGTTAAAGAGAACTAACACTGCCTGATTTCAAAAACAAAAACAAAAACTTATTATAAAGCTACAGAAATCAAACCAGTGTGGTACTAGCATAAGCATAAACATATAGATCAATGAAACATTAAGATTTATGACAACTGATTTTAGCAGAAGTACCAAGGCAATTCAATGGAAAAAGTATAATCTATTAAACAAATTGATGCTAAAACAACTAGATCAGTATTCATATATAAAATAATAATAATATATATGTATTTTTTAAAAGAGTTTATTTATTCGACAGAGATCACAAGTAGGCAGAAAGGCAGGCAGAGAGAGAGGGGGGAAGCAGGCTCCCTGCTGAGCAGAGAGCCTGATGTGGGACTCGATCCCAGGACCCTGGGATCATGACCTGAGCCGAAGACAGAGGCTTAACCCACTGAGCCACCCAGGCAACCCAAAATAATAATAATATTAACTCAAAACTCAAAAAAAAAAAAATAATATTAACTCAAAATTAACTCTTACTCAAAAGAAAGACCTAAATGTAAAATCACTAGGAAAAAATGTCTCTGGCCCTAGGTTAGGCAAATTTCTTAGCTGTCATAACAAAATCATAATCCATTAAAAAAACTGAACATCAAAATTTAAAACTTTTACTCTTCAAAAGACACCATCAAGAAAGTAAAAAGGCAAGCAATAAACTAAATTATTTCCCTTTTTAAAAAAATATTTTATTTATTTATTTTGAGAGATAGTGTGAGAGAAGAGAGAGCACAAGCAGAGGGGAGGGGCAGAGGCAGAGGGAGAAGCAGGCTCCCCACTGAGCCAGGAGCCTAAGGTGGGACTTGTTCCCAGAACTCTGGGATCATGAACTGAGCCGAAGGCAGACACTTCACTGACTGAGCCACCCAGGTGCTGCAAGAAACTCTTAGCCATAGGGAACAAACAGGGTCGTTGGAGGGGAAGGGGTGGGGGGATGGGGAGACCAGGGGACGGGCATTCAGGAGGGCACGTGATGGAGTGAGCACTGGGTGTTCTATGCCACTGATGAATCACTGACCTCTACCACTGAGACTAATAACACACTGTGTGTTAACTACACTGAATTTAAATTTTTTAAAAAAGATGATGTTGGTTGGGAAAAAGATAGGCCAAAGTTGTACACCAGAAACTCATGTAACATTGTGTGTCAAGTTTGTTTCAATAACAAAAACGTAATTTAAAAAGGTAAAAGATGTGAACAGACATTTGTCCGAAAACTACACGAATGAATAATAAACACGTGAAAAGATACTCACCACAAGGACAACGGAAATTAAGACCACAGTGAGACACCACTACACACTCGCTAAAACGGCTGTAACTCAAAGGACCAGCAATACCAAGTGTCCACAAGAATATGGAAAAGTAGGGCCTCCACGTGTTGCCGGGTAGGACGCAGGACAGCGCACGCGCTCTGCCGGACAGTATGGCAGGTCCTCACGAAGTGAGCCGCACACTCACCGTACAGCCCAACAGCTGCGCCCCCAGGTAGCCCCCAAGAACAATTACAGTATATGCCCCCACGAACACGTGTACATGAATTCACAGCAGCATCACCCATCAGAGGGAAAAACCGGAAGTAAGTAAATGTCATCAACTGGTGAAAAGATAGAGAAAATGCGGTACCGCAGAAAGGAACAACCGACACGTGCTAACGTAAATGAACTTCCAAAGACTACACTGACGTAAAAGACGGCCTGTTATGTTTCTGTACTTCTACAAAACATTCAGAAGAGGCAGACCTATAGAGACAGCGGGTCTGTGGTTGCCTAGGGCGGAGCCAGGGATGGAGGACGAAGTATAAACAGATGTGGGATGGAAGTGTTCTGAGAACCGGACAAAATCCAGCAGCCGCTCGTGATAAAAATGCTTAGCAAACTAGCAACAGAAGGGAACTTCCTCAACTTCATAAAAAGCATCTACAAAACACTGCAGCTACAATCGCATTTCTGTCTACAATGGGGAAGGCTACAAGCGAATGGACGCAGGAGATACATGGGAAATCTCTGTATTTTCCACTCAATTTTGCTGTGAACCAACGGAATACTACTCAGCCATAAAAGAGAACAAAATCGGGGTGCCTGGGTGGCTCAGTCAGTTAAGCATCTGCCTTCAGCTCAGGTCATGATCTCAGGGACCTGGGATCGAGGCCTGCGTGGGGCTCCCTGCTCAGCGGGGAGTCTGCTTCTCCCTCTGCCTGTCTGCCCCTCCCCCCCACCGCTCCTCCTCTGTCTCTCACTTTCTCTTTCTCTCAGATAAATAAATAAAATCTTTAAGAAAAAAGAAAGAACAAAATCTCACCATTTGCAATGACATGGATGGAACTAGAGATTATTATGACAAATACCAGACGACCTCATTTATACATAGAATGTAAGAAACCAAACAAACAGACAAAGAGGACAAAAGGAGAGAGGGGCAAACCAAGAAACAGATTCTCAACTACAGAGAACTCACTGATGGCAACTGCAGGGAGGTGGGCGGGGGCTGGGGGAAGTAGGGCTGGGGAGTCGGGGGCACCTGTCCTGAGGAGCACTGGGTGATGTACGAAGTGTTGAATCACTATATTGTTCATCTGAAACGGACACAACTCTGTATGTAACTACCTGGAATTTAAATAAAAACTTAAAAAGAAAAACCCAAGATCTATTTTTTTAGAAATCATACTTAGTGGTGAGAGACTGCCTTCCCCCAAGGTCAGGACCAAGGCAAGCTGTCCGCTCCCGCCACTCTGATTTAACACAGTGGCAGAAGTTCCAGAGAGTGCAGAACACAGAAGAAACAAAAGGCAGAGACAGCAGAAGGACCAGCACTGTCCCTAACTGCAGACGCCGTGATTGTCTATATAAAATCTCAAGGAATCTAAAAAACCCCAGACTTCATAAGTGAGTCCAGCCAGATCACAAGCTATAAGATCAACACACAAAAAGCAATCACGTTTCCGTGTGC